AAACCCACGCATGCACGGAGAGAACATGCAAACTCCACCCAGAAAGGTCCCGGGCTGGGATTTGAACCGGCAACCTTCTCAACGAGATGCAACAGCTCTACTAACTGAGCCACCGTGCCGGCCACGTATCAAATAGGGGGAAAGAAATCTCCAAGACAGAAAAATTTGGAAACCGGTTTTGTGGCGTTTTCTTTCGTGTCCTGTTTGGACTCGGTCCATAAAATGTCTCCTTCACAACAGAATGCCAGACATGTTCTCTGTAGACCGGGTCCAGTTCGAAATATTTAACTTACATTCTTTTTAATTTTACCACATCTGTTCATTCTGGTTCTGGAACCACAAACAACGATTAAACAGGGAAAGAAAAAGGGCAAAACTTTAAAATGTGTCCGTCCAACACGCCCGAGTTAGACGTTTCATCGGACAACGTTTGGTTTCCATTCCGTTTTATTGTTGGAAAGATAGAAAAATAAAAACATCAGAACCCATGGACATATTCCAATGACCTCTTCTAGCCCTCGAGCCATACGTTGCCAACGTAAACGCTTCTTATTCTGTTACTTATCGACACAAAATCTCACAAACAAAACACAATGTCCATTTGCCGGACCATCAACCACACAATGGAAAAGGGAACAATGAGAAGAAGTCGAAACAAACGGCAGCCATTGTGGGCGAAAACTCACCGCCTGCCTCATGCAGGGTCCTCAAAGCCGTCTGTGTTCTCCTCACATGTCCCGTTAGAGGAACTGGGTCCAAACTCTGAGTCTACTTCCATAATATGTGCGTTCTTACCGCCTCCTCCATTTTCTTCTTCCTACCAACAGATCCACAGTTTGCAGGTGATGCTCCACCTTCCAGCGGGGTTGATGCACATTGTTCACCTCCATGCAGCAAAGTGCCGACAGAGGTCAGAGTCAAATAAATAAATATAAATAAAACTGCATGTAATAAAAAATTTAAAACACTTCCTCTGTCATTTTCTGCTTCAATTCAAAAGGAATGAAGAGCAGCGCGTTCCCAAAGACCCAGACTCAGCTCCACCAACACGAGCGTCTGATTCTACCAACGTCCACCAGTGTCACCAGTTCTCCATCAGTCATAGTCCTGAAGTTTTTCCAAACAGGGGACGTGTCCCGCTCATAACCAGGACCAAGCCGAGTGTGCACGAGAAAACCTGCAGAGAGACCTGCTGTCACCTGCAGTGGAAACAAACAGCCGAAGCTAAAATTAGAAGCAGCCATTTTGATATTTAGGACTTTTAAAAAGGCTGCGGTCGTGACGGCCGCGTCACCACAGCCGACTGCGTCCGTTAGCTGCTGAGCCAAGCTAGCTGGGGGACGTGAAGGAAGTTCCCCAATCATCGAACGTTATGAAGAATTAGAGAAATTGTATTTCCTGCAAAATGCAGTGTGAATGCTTATTGCTGAAGAACTTGCTGAAAAACAGCTGAAATCAGCTAAAAACATGCTGAAATGGAACAACAACACATTTGATGAATTAGGTTTAAAGAAGCAGAAGTGAGCACAGAAATTGTGAAATTAGCTAAAAAAAAAACAATGAAAAGTAGCCGAAAAGGCAGAAAGAAGTTTAAGCTGAAGTGGAAATAGCTGAAATAAGCTAAAAAATGATGAATTACCTGAAAATTTTAAAAATAGCATAAAACAGCTAAAAAGCTGAAATAACTCGAACTAACATAAATAAGCTGAAAGGGGCATAACAAGCTGATTATAGCATTAAAAAAAAGTTAATTACGGTAGGCTGAAAGTAGAAATTACCACAAAAAAAATTTGAATTTATCAGAAAACAGCTGAAATTAGCTAAACGAAAAAAGCTAAAAAAGGAAGCTGAAATGGTAGAACAAGCTTAAATTAGCAGAAGGCCACAGAAATAATCAGATTGCTGAAAGAAACATAAATTAGCAAAAAAAAGGTGGAAATTATCTGAAAAACGCTAAAATTAACAAAAAAAACTCAAAAGCAGCTAAAACAGCAGAACGAAGCTTAAATACCTGGAAGGAAGAGGAAAGAGCACATTTTTGCTGAATTAGTCTGAAAAAAGTTTAAATCAGTGCAAAGAATGTGGAATTATCTGAAAAGGCTTAAATTAGCATAAAAACAGCTGAATAGTAGCTAAAATAGAAAAAGCTGAAACTTGAATAAATAAACTGAAAGAAGAAAAAACTGAAATGAGCTGAATGTAGCTGAAAAAAAGTTTAATTTTGCACAAGGGAGCTGAAAGAAGCTGAAGCTGAAGCAGTCTCGACTGAAGAGCTAACGGCTAGTCTCAGTCCCAAAAGTCCCATTTTATAAAGTTTTCAGTGTCACCAGTTCCACATCACCCGATATCTGAATAAACAGGACATTCCTGCCGTGCACTGTCCGGTGCTACAGCTAGCTGCTGCTGCTTGCACCACAAAATGATTTCTAAATACCTGTGTAATGTAAAAGGTTCAAACACATATCCCTGAGGTGGATCGGTTGTTTCCAATATGATAAAAACCCACTTTGGCTTTGGACCCATTCAGACTAGCCATGAGCTCGTCGCTTGGATCAGAATTAAACTCGTTGCTAAGAGATTAGATTAGATTACAAACTGGTGAACAGCCGCCAACCACAGCGAGCGTTTGTTTACCCACAGAATCAGCCGAAGGGACTGAAAATAGGCGAACGACGCCCGAGCTGTTTGGTATTGAAACGTCCGACCGTTTAGTTTCAAACTGTTTTTGTCAGATCCAGAGTGGTTTGTTTACACCGAGCGCGTACCTGCGTTTCAGGAAAACTACCGGAGTAACCGTTTCCAAACAGGATAAACATCTTAATTATTTTAGTTTTAAATTAAGGCGCCATCCACAGTTTTACAACCGTCCACGTGTTCTTTACACGCGCTAACAGCAGCAGCTAGCTGTGGCACTTCCTGTGCAGCAGGAGCATCGTAATATCTCCACACAACAACTGTGTAACATAATTATGGCCGGTCAGAATTAAACCGCTTTCTTCAAAGGGGGAGCGGTGGCGCAGAGGTTAGAGAAGGCGAGCCTGTGATCAGAAGGTTGCCGGTTCAACTCCACGACCAACATAAAAAATGTGGGTGGGGAAAGGTGAGGCGCCCACATCTGCCTCCACCCTCATTTGCCCCACTCTGGGCCCTTAACCTCCAACATCTGCTCCCCCGGGCACCTGAGACCAATGGTTCCCAACTATGGTCCCTGAGGAACACCATCCTGCACACCTGATTTGAATAAATGGGTGATTTACAGACTCCTGCAGAACCTGACATAATCAAATCACTGAATCAGGTGTGTTGCAGCAGGGAAACAACGAAAACATGCAGGATGGTGTTCCTCAAGGACTAGTGTTGGGCTGTGGTAGCTCGGTGGTCTGTGGTCAGGAAGGACGTCCGGCGTCAAAACAATCGCCAAGTCTTCAGGCGAGTTAGTTCACCGTGACAAGAAGAAGGGAGCAGACGAAAGTCGACAAACACAACGCTCGTGACCCTCCCGCTGACCACCACTTCAAAAAGATCTGGAATATCCCTTTAAACATCTCCACTGGTTTTCTAAGGTTTCCACTTGCTGCGGAGACAAAACCTTCCTCTGACATATTTTACAAACACTGATAGTTGCACATTCTGATTCCCCACCACCACCTCCATTAACATGCACCCCTCCTCCTCCTCCTCCCTACAAGAGCAGCTACAGCGAGAAGCCTTCTCCTTCTCCTGGCCACAGATAAGGACAGAGGTCTTCTTGTCCCCGGCTGAATTCGATCATCTCACAGGCCCCACAGCCCCGGCATATAAATGTGGTCCATTCTTCCTGCAGTGTGTGTGTGTGTGTGTGTGCGTGCGTGTGTGCGTGTGTGGAGCATGTTCTCATGGCCGTGGCGTTTCCTGGGGAAGGAGGAGGAGTGATGGTGGGGGGTTCTTTGGAAACAGAATGAGGAGCTGAAGTTGAGGATGACCCAGTTGTCATCCCGTCCATCCAGTCCAGCAGCTTCTAATGAACCTGAGGTTCAGCCCAAACCTTGAGGAGCATGAGGAGCCTGACTGAAAGCTTCTGTAAGGAGGCCTGCAGGAGCTGCACCTCCTTCCAAAATGTCTCATTTCCATCCTTCAAGATTTTCATTCCAACAAACCAACTGTAGCTGCTCAAACGTTCTGTTTGAGGTGGACACACAAGCTTTGCTCCTGCGGAGGAACTGGAGGAACAAGCAGCAGAAAAGCTTCATCTGTTTGTGTTTTCTGGTCCTACCTGTTCATCTGATGATGCTCAGTCTGACTCCTCTTCCTCAGCTTCTCCTCTTTTTTCTGAACCTCCACTGGACCAAAACAAAAAGTCAAAAGGAAGCTAAAAATTTTATTTAAAAAAAGGAGGTCGGTCCAAAAGGTTCTGATGAATAAAGCCCAGGACAGTTCGTTCAATCCAACAGCAGGTGGGACTTCACTGATGATGATGATGATGAAGACACGGCTCCCCTGTCCGAACTGCTCGGCTCGGTTCGGTCCATTCCAGCAGGGCAGTGACTCCGCATCCGGTTTTTTTATCTTTTGTTTTTGGCCCGGTTCGGTCTGCTTTTGGCCCGGTTCGGTCTGCTTTCAGCACCGACACAACTCCATCCCGACCCGACGAGCTGATGAGCGGAGTGGCATCACCTGTGTCGGCTCGCGCGCTCCTTTCTCCGTGACAGTCGACGATAAATCCACAGGAAGCCGCCTCGGAGAGCAGCGCGCGCCCCGGCGGCAGCCTCGTGTGATGTGGACCGCCTCGCGGGCACTCTGCGCGCGGAGCTCCGGTCCTTTGATGCTGATGCCGCCTCTGCCGCTTCTGCTCGCGAGCGCGCTCGTCCTCCTCCTCCTCCTCCCACCGGCGGCGTGTGACGCGCGCGCCGCAGCGTCGCCCTGGCAACGCTCTCCTCTGACCTCAATATGCTCCCTTTCTTCTCGTGCCGTGCGCGAGGCGTTTAGGAATATGAACGTTTGGTTTGTTGTTGTGCTTTTAGGCACGTCGGTCAGCGCGCGGAGGCAGAAGACTTCCTGCCGGTGGAGTTTCCTCTCCTCACATCCAGCAGGCAGATCCGCATCAGCGTGACGTCAGAGGACGTTAAAAAGATGCACGTCAGAGCAGAGGCGATTCAAGATCTGTCCTTTAGGGGGGCTTAGCCCCCATTGTGGCTCTTGGCTTGAACAGCTTGGTGCCCATTTGGTGTCAGAAGCATTGTAATGGAATTTGTCTGGTTAAATAATAAATAAATAAATGTGGAGGGAGGGGAGACACACTCGTGGTGGATACGGGGGTCTGATGGTTCTTCCACAGAACATTTTGAATAAAGTAGATGCCATTTCCTGCATTCTGGTGTATATTACCAGGTCTTTAAACATTTACGTTTACCTACATAAGTAAACACTTGATTCAAAAACTATTTTACAGTTACAACAAGAAGTAGCCTGACCAACAGTTCTCCTTGTGTGAACAGAGCTTGCTCCGCTTCTCTCAAGCATCCTAACACACCCCGTCCACCCCCGGTCAACAACTGCCAACGACTGTATTATGCAGCACACAATACAGACGCACTAGCTAAGATGCTACAGACATAGTGCTCTGCTTCTCATATGCAACCCCCCCCCAATTTAGTCCATATTTATTCCAATTTTATTCAATACTTTGGTGAATCTAAGGTTTGAGAACTGCTTCCTTACAAAATTGTAACAATGTTTTTTTTTCAGGGGAGCTAAGTTAAAATTTAGGGGTGCTTGAACACCCCCAAAAAGAAGCTAAAATCACCACTACCTCAGAGGTTTTTTTTTCCAACATCGTTCTTTAAACCATCTCAGATATCGTACTTTTTTCCCCATGTCTCAGAAACTCTACATCCTCGTGCAAGTTGGATTCCATGGTCCCTGATCCTGTTTGTGGTGATCAGAATGATGTCCTGTTTGGGAACCTCAAGGCATCACGTCTGCTTTATGCAGATGATGTGGTTCTATTGGTGAGTTCAGTCCATGACCTATAGCGTGAACTGGGATGAAAGCCAGCTCCTCTGAGTCTGAGACCAAGAATCTCAACCTTAAGCGGCTGGAATGTCCCCTCGAATCAGGAAGACTTCGCCTAAGGTAAAGGAGTTTAAGTATCTGGGCGTCTTGTTCACAAGAAATGGCTGAAGCAGAAGATGGTCTTCCGTAATGAGGGCGTTGCTTTGGTCGATCGTAGTGAAGAAAGAGTAGCTTTGAAAGGCAATGCTCTTGGTTTACTGGACCAACTACGTTCCAATGGTCATGAGGTTCGGTTCATGCTGGAAAGAACCTTAATCCGAGCTGCTGAAACAATCTTTCTTCAATGGATGGAAAGACTCAGCCAGAGGATGAGGAGCTCCAGTATCCAGAGTGGAGCTCGGAGTAGAGCTGCTGCTCCTTCACAGTCAGCTGAGGTGGTTCACGCATCCTGAACATCTCCCTTTAGAGGTTTTCCAGGCACGTCCCACTGGGAAGAGGCTCTGGGGCAGTTCCAGAATGCTCTGGAAGGATTGTGTATCTTCTCTGGCCAGCGAACACAATGGGATCTCCCCAGGTGGTGACAGAGAGTATTGCTTAGGAGATGGATGTTGAGGTATCTGTACTGGACCTGGTGTCTACATGACCCGACTAAGGATGAGTGGTAGAAGACAGGTTGAAGCGGAGAATCTCAAGACGTAACTGATTCAATCTCTGCACCCAACCAGGTTGAAAAATGTTGTTTTACAGTCCTCTGCCTCTTACACCTGGCTGGTTCAACCGTTTTTTGCCTTCAGAACGTCCCCAATTATTAATGGCATACATTCAAAAAGTTGCTGGGACCATTCCTCAGAGACTTTGGTCCATACTGACATGGTAGCATGCTGCCATGGGTCTCCTTTTTCCAGCACATCCCAAAGGAGATCGACTGGACTGAGTTCTGGCGACCTTGGAGGCTGTTGGGAGTCCACTGAATCCAGACCCATCAGACCAGCGAGTGTTTAATTTTTTCAATTTCTTATTGTCCAAATTTAAAGAGCCTGTGTGGAACAGGAGTCTAACTAACCAGAGCTCTGTTACCAGTGTCTCAATTTATCTCAACTCTTTTTCCGTCGTGGTTCTGAAAATGTTTAGTCTTCTATAAAGTAACTTGTGTAGCCTGTACACAAAGTATGGGTTATAATGTTTCAGAACAATACCAATTTAGCATGTTTTGGCTAAAGCAAATCGATAAGCAAGTTGATAGACATGTCAATAACACTGATATACTTTCAGTTAGCTGGGTTTTGCTGCTTTACCATAAATATAGCAAATTAGAGAGAGTGACAACTCATGACAAATTGATAGTTACAGGAGTGTTTTTTATGTTCTTACCCTCACATATGGCCACAGACTTTGGGTAGTGACTGAAAGAATGAGATTGTGGATACAGGAGGTTGAAATGAGTTTCCTACACAGGGTAGCTGGACTCTCCTTTAGAGATAGGGTGAGAAGTTCAGTTATCAGGAGAGACTCGGAGTAGCTGCTCCTCCACATAGAAAGGAGCCAGTTGAGGTGGTTCAGGCATCTGGTAAGGATGTTCCCTGGGCTCCTCCCTAGGGAGATGCTTCGAGCATGTCCAACTGGGAGGAGACCCCGGACACGCTGGAGAGACTATGTCTCTCAGTTGGCCTGGGAACATTTTGGAGTCCTTCTAGAACAGCTGGAAGAAGTGGCTGTGGAAAGAGATGTCTGGACCTCCCTGCTCAAGCTGCTGCCCCCGAGACCGATGGATGGATGGGTGGATGAATGAATGGATGGATGGAAGAATGGAT